GCTAGACAAGATCACATAGATCATGAGGGAAAAGAATATGGAAGGATTTTAAAACAAGTATCATAAATTTTAAAATTGACACATTGTTAAACAGGTCAAGAAATACAAGGAATGAAAAGTTAACAAGACTAGGTGTGAGTTGATGATAAAACAATTCCCCATTTCGATGGGGAAATCTTTGCTTTCTTAATGATTTCTTAGCCTGTTTTTTTTTAAGAACAAAAGTCTCACAAGAATAAACACCATCATTTGGCTTTTCTAGGGGCTCCTATGGGCAATTGTACTTAGCAGCTTTTAATATAGACTATTAGCAATTCAAGAAATTTTTAGATGCTTCATTTGAATATAGCTGCCATGTATCTGCACAAAATTTCTCTCAGTGTATTTTGCTAAAGCGGTAATCCTGATGAAATAACCTCTTCAAGACTTTATCCAGTTATTCATTTGTTACAAGGTCATTTGCACTGTGGCTCATAAAATTTAAACCTGATATACGATGCGTTTAATGGTTTGCTGTTGGGACAACAACTACAGCTTTTGAAAAAGCTGTATCATTTGATAGGGAATTCTTTCAACTTGAACATATTGGACTTTCAACTTGGGAAATGTATTCACATCCAGTCAAATCTCTTTGTTGACATAAAGGATTCCGGTAGAGATGAGACTGGGTAGTCCCATCCAATTCACTAATGAATATTTTGCTCCATTGCACTCAACGGATTAATATCACTCGAGTGTGATTGGGTGATTCATATGGGAAAGGCAAAAAACTGTCTCTAATGTAGTGGTTGGCTCTGCTTGGGCTCAGTTGCTAGCTATTTTGCCTGTGAGTCAGAGGTTGTGGGCTCAAGTCCTAATCCTGAGTCTTGGCACTTCACTGCTGTATTGAGGAAGTGCTACATAGTTGGAGGTGCTGTCTTTTGATTGAGCCAAGTCTCCATTTGCCCTTTTTAGTGGATGCAGAACATTCCATGATGCTGTTCAAAATAATTCAGGGGAATTCTGTCAAATTTCAAAGCCAGTGTTTATGCTTCAAACTGCATTGCTTTTCTTTATTATGATTTAAATGAATTTATCATGAATGAATTGTTGTTTATGGGAGAGATAGTAGAAATAGTAGAAATGTTTATGGGATCTTGCTTTACACATATTGGCGATCACATTTTATAAGACTGGAATATGTAAGTGCAGAATTAGGCCATTCAGCCCATCACATCTGCGTTGACATTCAATAACATCATGGCTGATCTAATAGCCCTCAACTCCACTACCATGCTTTATTCCCAAAGTCCTTCATTCCCTTACTGATTAAAAATCTGTCTATGTCAGTCTTGAATATACATAATGACCCAGCTTCTGCAGCCTTCTCTGTGGTAAAGAATTCCACAGGTTCACTACCCTCTGAGAGAAGAAATTCTTCCTCATCTCTGTTTTAAATTGGTGACCCCTTAATATGAGATTATGCCCTCTCATCCTAGACTGTCCAACAAGGGGAAAAAGAATCTCAACACCTACCTTGTAAAGCCCCCTGGGAATCTTATATGTTTCAACAAGGTCTTCTCATTCTTTAAACTCCAATGAATACAAGTCCAATTTACACTTACAAGAAAATCTGTCTATACCCAAGATCAATTTAATGAAACAGAATTAATGTTTCGGGTCCGGTGACCCTTCCTCAGAGGAAAGGTCATCAGACCTGAAACATTAACTCTGTTTTTCCCTTCACAGATGCTGCCAGGCCTGCTGAGCTTTTCCAGCAAGTTTGTTGTTGTAGATGGATTCTTACTAGGCAGGGGAATCTATGGTTACTGGGGATAGATGGGAACATGGAATTTGAAACACAAACATATCACCCATGATTTTATTGAATGGCAGAGCAGTTTTGAGGGGCCAAATGAATTATTTCTGCTCCTATTACATAAGGATGGGCTGCCTCCAATGCCAGTGTATCTTTCCTTAAATAAGGAGACCAAAACTGTTCACAATATTATAGGTGTGATCTAATTCATGCCTTGCATAGTTTTAACAAGACGACTCTATTTGTATTCTTCATTTCCTTTGAAATAAAGGCCAACATTCCATTTGCCTTCTGAATTTGGATGCTGGCTTTTGCTGATTTATTCACAAAGTCTCCTAAATCCCTATGTGCTGTAGCTTTTTCTGCTGTCTTCCTCCATTTAGATAATAACTACCACGTCCATTCCAGATGCCAAAGTGCATAACCTCACATTTTCCCACATTATGTTCTTTCTGCCAAGTTTTTTTGCCGACTCACTTAACCAGTCTATAATTCCCCTGTAATCTCTGTGCCATTGACATCACTTACCTTCTCTCCAATGTAGTGTCATCCACAAACTTGGAAATAGTACATTCCTATCCCTCATCGGAATTATTAATAAATCTTGTAAATAATGGCGACCCCAGCGCTGATCCCTTTGGCACTGCATTAATTACATCCTGGAATGCCCCACATATCCCAAGTTTCTGTCTTCTATTTGTTAACCAGTCCTGAAACCATGCTCATTATAATATCCCAGCACCATCGGCTCTTATTTTCTGCAAAACTCAATTTCACAAACAGCTATTTAGCTGTAAAATGCTTTAAGATAATGTGAAAGCACCGTACAAATACAAATTATTTCTTTAGTCATGACCTTTTGAGTCTGAAGAACATTGTGGGTGAGCAAGTGGGAAAATAACCCAGGAGCCACCCATATGTGTGTGGTTGTGTCATACTTGTTGCCCAAATTAGAAATAAGGTCCATATCTCAAAAGTTAACACCCTCAAGTTGATTTTTTTTGTCCAAACTGTGATGTGTAAACAATGTATCATTGGCATTGCATCAGATGCATTAAATTTACCCCAACTTCCAACATGGTGACTTTTTGCCAGAGTCAAATCTGTTCGAAATTCCTACAGAAATGCTGTTCCTTTAAACTATACATCTTTCTTCTGAAATCACAAATAAACAAGCATTCTGGAAATCTGATCAAGCTGCTGGATTTAACAATAACTTGCACAGCTAGCATTTAAAAGAGGAAGTGGGCCCAAGTTGGGATATTGTATGATGAGATCCTCCCAAAGGTCCGTTGCATTTGTGAACTGGTGCTAAATAACCTGATGTGTGTTTTCTGCGTGGGTTTTGAACCAGTTAGATCATATGGGACCATTTCCACCCAAAACGTTTTTGAAGTAAAAGCAAAAGTTAAAACATTCTCAACTGCTCCTACACCTTTTAACCCGAGACTCTTTTACGTTGCTGAATTGAAGTCTAAAAGGGTAGAATTTAAGTTCAAGGTGGTTAAATAAAATTGGCTGCTCGGTGTGAGATGTAGCTCATGCTGGAACTTGCCAGTCCTATCGATGGAGCATAGAAGTTGCGGGCAGATCATATATTGGTCATGTCGTATCGGCGACAGTTTACCCTTTGAGTGCTGGACTCTATCTCTTTTATTTTCACCAAAACTTTCTCATCATCAATGACCGAGGCACCTGGTGCAGTTATAACTAGATTGTTTATACACAGGGTGGCAATGCCATCTCGTGTGGCTGTAAGTTTAAAGAGTTGACGGGTTGGTGTGTGTGTGTGAAGGGGGGGTGACAATTAGTTACTCATGTCTCGTTTAATTCGATCACTATAACCCGATAAATCAATAGCTTGGGGAAAAAAACATGCATTTTATTGCAAACATTATCCATTCTGATACAAGAAACTCCACAACAAAGTTAGTCAATGTCACAACTAAAACAAGATCGGGAAAGTTGAAGCCCTGAACCACAATTTTCAATTTTTTTGTTTCATGGGGAGCCAAAGTGATGAGCTTGATTAGAATGTGGTTGGAGGCTGCGGGTATCAGAGGGGAGAAATAAACATTTGTTAATTTCAAATGAAGGGAAATCCAGGCAGCCTGCCCTATTTTGTTAAACATATCCTTGACGCCGTTCATGATTTATATCGTTTTCTGCTCTCAATGCTGAATCCAGCTCCACTGAAAATCAAACGCTGGCTAAGTTTGGGGGTTTGTCCATGTTATTTTTTTTGAGGGAGGTTTTGTTGCTAGAGGCGCTTGGTGGGTGAAGTTAGGATGGATTGTGTTCGACTCTTTCCAGTGGGATAACCTTGGTCCCCGACAATCGATCGCTTCGGAAACTTCGCCTCGGGAGGCAGTGAAGTTGACCGGGATTCCTGAGAAGGCTGCAGCAGGAGATCCGGGGGATCCGGTCCGAGGGATAGGCAGTAAAGTCCTGTCGTTCTCCCCCAGCGCAAACCTCGGTGGGGGGGGCTCGACCCAGCCGCCGGTGCAAATTGACAGCCAGGACAGAGAGTGCCCCGCTCCAACTTCGCCTTTGCAGCCTCGTCTATTTCTCCCCAATAATAAGTCTGATGTGAATAAAACAGCGCTAATTAGCCACGCACGGCATGCAAAGAGGGGGGCACTCGGTCCTGCCGAATCCTGTAGGAGACAGATGCCACTGTGTGCGCGTGTTTTCTCTCTCTCTCTCTTCCCCCTTAACATGTTTGTTGTCTCACTTCAGCAGAACTTGAGAAACACGAGCAGAGATGCAGAGTGCAAACGTGATGAAGAATGGTGTCATTAAAGACGCCGGTTGTTGGTAAACATTGCGGCTGACCCCCCAGCTCTCCTCCCTCCCGGCTCGGGGCTGGTGAGGGCGGCTCGCCCCGACCGGGCTGTGAAGCCCAGGGAAGTGCATTCCTTTCAAAGTCTGGGATTAAACCCGAGGAAAACTGCTTGGACTATTTCCTGGTGAGGAGGTAGACATGAGCGGAACTGGCGTAAGTTGTTATCCCTCCGCTAAAGGGGCTGTGGATCTGGTGTTCTACAGACTGGGGAAAGCTCCATTCCTTCCAAAGGATTTTTTTCTTTCTCTCTCTCTCTCTCCATTCTTCTCCACCTCTTCCTCCCTTGTCTCTTCCCCCCCCTTCCTCGATTAAGACCCCCCTCACTCTTCACCCCCCCCCCCCCACCACCAACCCCTTCCCCCCCCCCCTTTCTTTTTGCATTTGGTCGCCAATCTGAAGGAGAACAAAAAAAAATCCCCGTCAGGTCCGAAAGTCTTCAGTCTGATGGCTAGAGCTGGAATCTACTGTGGTGGGATGTGCGGTGCGTGAATTTTATTTCAGACAAAGAAGTCAGAGAGAGAGAGGGAGGGAGAAAGGGGTGGTGGTGTGGAGAGAGGAGGGGGAGCACAGACAGACAGACACAGAAAGAAAGAGAGAGAGAGAGGGAAAGAGACAGGGTGTGCGTGTGTGCGGGAGAGAGATTGAGAGAGGATGAGAGATAGTGAGTGTGGAGAGGGAAGGTGTGGATCAAACATCGTTTTGTCGCTCAGCACCTTTTTAGTAACTGGTTCAAATGCGGAGATAATGGAAGGGACATTAAAATCAGCCAGAATTTCGAGTTATTATCCGCTCGCTACAAGTGGAGGGAAAGAGCATTTTGCAAGTGTGTGATTTTATTTTTAATTTTTAGGAAGGACCAAATTGTGGTCGTGGTTATTGTGGATTCCGGGCGATTACTGCTGCTGAAACTATTGGGGGAAATATTTAAAAAAAAACACTCGTATCTCTTCTGGGGGAAAAAAATTCTAAAAGTGTGTTATTATAGAATCAACATCAGTCTGCACTGTGGAGACCTGGTCAATTTCACCTGGGGATTTTCCTGTCAATTTTACTTGGAATCTAGTCAATTTCCGCCTGGATCGTCGGCTCGCTTGGAATCATTATGGGAATACTGGGATAATTTCTCCATCTAAGTTATAAAAGGATTCTTCTCTTGCGGATTTTTTTTCCTCGGTGATTAATACACAGACGACGTGTATCCAGCCATCGCCTCCTGCAAAGTGTGCTTTGCCTGGGCTTTGTGGAATTGCTATTGTTAATTTTATTGAGTTTAAACAAATATATACATACACAACCAGTCACCTTTTTGTGTGTGTGTGTGTGTTTGGGGAATTCTTGTGTGTGCAATGGATCGCCCTCGGTGTAGTGGGCTTCGCCGGAGTAGGCGATCTCGAGCTCAGAGAAACCGAGACAGGAAAGCAAAGGGAGGAGGAGGCACTTCGAGGGCGAACAGCATTCTATCCTCATCAGGGTCTGAGCGAGAGGGCAGTCACAAAAATCCCGCCTCATCCCGTCCCAGACCCCCGCGACGTCGGAGGAAAGACTCCACTTCAGGAGAAGAAGATCTCATTGATGGATTTGGAATAGCCAGTTTTGTCACCTTGGAAGCTCTCGAGGTAAGGAACCGGTTGGATAATGCAAATTCTTGCCTCCTTCAGACTTCTAGCTTCAAATGTGATTCAGCTTTAAGATTGCACTGCAATATCCCAGTCTAGAGTAACTGATTAAACTGCACTTCATGTTGTTTGATTAAACTATTCTGTTATCATAGCTTAGAGTTGAACTCATTTACACAGATCATAGCTCGACTTTTATTGTTGACTGTGTAGTTCTTTGATATTTTTCTTTCACCCTTCACCTCAGCCATTAAAAGTTGAAACCAACTGAGAATTTTGTTGGAAGTCTGAAATCTGTCAATGTTTTATAAAAGCTGAAAGGAGAGCATTGATTTGAGCCAGTTGAGATTTGTGCACCTTGTGTAACTCATGCATTGCTGAAACATTAGGCCCAAGCATTGTGATTTTTTATGAATTTGATTGTATTTGGCACTTCCCTATGGAGAGTTAAGAATTCTGTAAATATGGAAACTGAATTTGGCCAAAATGAGTTGTGACTGGGAAGGTTTAAAAGCCACCAGCTATTGTGTTTGAATGATTTGGAAGTTGATTTAACTGGTACTTTGGACAATATACAAAGAGACAAGAAGAGTCTAAGGATTGGATTGGATTGGTTTGGATTGGAGTAATAGAAGTTTACATTGAATGGTAATTACTTGAAACGGCACAACTATTTATTGAGAAGTGTTCTGGAAACGACGCATAAAGTTCAGCATGCTTTGAAAAGTTACAGTGTAAATGTGATCCTATTTTTGCATGTATGGAAGAGTCAGGAGTATTGGCTGAATTCCTGAATATGTTAGTGAATGTTCTCTCTAATCAAGTTAGGTTTTGGTGTTTACATTGACTGGCTCACCTCTTGACAATGAAATATTGTTTGATTGCACAAAACCATTTCTACCTCTTAACGTCAACAAAGTAGTCATAAGATTTTCACAAAGATTTTCATGTCAGTGTTGAATAAGGGACACCTTTAACAATAGTTCGAATTCGATAGTAGACCATAGAACCACTGGTTGGGATGAGCCCTGTTTCAAAGGACCAGCTCTACAGAGATAACAGCAGCTGGCTTCCCCTCCATCTATTGAGAAACAATAGTAAATAGCCTCAGTCCATGTTTGTTTATCTTAAACTGCTATAGTGAATGAATTATGCCTTAAATTATTACTTAACTTAAAGTGTCCAAAAGTACCAGTATTGATTTTGTTTTATATTATTTATTTGGAAATTCTTTTTAAAGTCAGTTCCTAAAATAAAAATATTAATAATTACTTTTGTTATTAAGGAGGAATATTGTTTTAATTTTTCCTTTCACTGGAATATGAGTGTAATTGTGCTGGAGATGAGATTTTCCCTGTGGAGCTTTTCTGCTAGTTTTCTCCCAGTTTTTATTTATAAGCTTATTATAAGTTGAATGCCTATCAACTGGTACTGTAGTATCACAGTCCCTGCATATTGGAATGTTATTGCAAGCAATAGGTTTGCATGTTTGCTGTTTCTCATGCATTGTATTTACACTGTCAGAAATGAGTATTTCTACAGTTGACAATGAAGAGTGTCTTTTTAACCATCAGATCTTCTCAGTGACATCTATAGGAAGAAATAGTTATTTGCTCGGAGCAACATCTTAAGAGTTAGATTTTATTTTAAACGTCAGATTAATGATTTTTAAAAAATTGGATTAGGAAAATGTCTTGAATTTATAAATTTGGGCTATTGATCATATTCATGTTTGTCCTTTTTGAAGTGCAAAATGAATCTACTGTGTTTCTTCTGTTTAACTGACGTAAATGGTGAGCTGATAGAATCTTGGAAAATTATTTTGTAATGAACTGCTTCAATTACTGTGATGTTGATTGTTTTAGAGTTTTCTTAAGGAGAGGGAAGTGCAACAATAGATTACTGTTCTATTTGATACATGGTATTGCCTAGAAAGTTACTTCAACAGCACTGTTGAAACATAGAGGATGTGCTAGTCTTGATGGTGCCTTCGCTTTTCAGATTGGTAGTGAATTCCACATGTTTGACATTGACATTCTTGGACAATGTCTAGCCTTCAATACCTAAGATAGTCCATAGATTTTGATATTGCCCCCTATAAAGCAAATTCTGTGCTTCCCCTTCCCACTGTTGTAAACTTGAGGTTATATTGAGTCTTTAAATATCACAGTTACTGTTGGGCTGGACTGATTTTGCTGTTGTAATTTTCTGATTTTCACTGTCAGAATTGTTGTTGACATGTCACACCTACAGTGAAACCCTGCCAAATCCTTCAGAGCCACATTAAATTAAGTTGATCAGTATTGATCTATATTAGAAAATAAAAGGTGGGAATATAATTAATTAAATCAATTGACAACGGGGTCTGTTAGTTTCCATAGCACAGTTATGTATGTGTCGCTCGGGAAGTCCAACTGACAAGAGGCTGAGTAATGATTACTGAAATCGCAGAATCCATTATGCTTTTATATGAGTGGATGGACAATCATCTTTTGTAAAAGTAGGTGACTTTTTTAATCCATGTTTGGTGTGGTTGGGCCCCATACCTTTGAAGTAAAACTGAGGAATGGTAACTCGCCCTTATAATGTACCACTTAAATTATTGAAATAAAATGTTTTATTTTAACATTTTTTGAGATCCAGCAATGTAAAGGTATAGTGTACTTCACATATGAAGGGAAGTAATCAATAAAATAAATTGCATAGTTCAGTAGAGATACTCCTTATGAACTGGTTGAAAACTGCACTCTAAATGAGCAGGTACATCTCGACAACAGTTTCTTCATTAATGCATGGTGGTGTAGTATTGGTAAGGTGCACAATTATGGTTTCATGTACTATATCAGAATATTTAATTTTATGATGCTAAGTGGTTAGAAATTTAGTTTTTAACTGTGTGGAAATATCTAAATGTTGTCCTCCTAAAGTGGTAATAAAATTAAATGCACTCAGTACATCTTTCCTGGATATCATGTTTGCAAAATATCCATTCTTTTAGATTCTTGTTAATTAGACACCAACAAACCTGTAAAAGTGACTGTGGACAGTTCCCCTGGTTTCCTTGTCCATTTCGAGCATTGCATCCTGTTTCATTTCTAAGCGTTGTGTATTGTTAAAAAAAAAAGCCAGCTGTGCCAGTTCTGAAGTTGTTAGCACTCAACAATGTTGTATTAGTGAAAGAAATTCATTCATATTTTGCTCTTAAGCAGCAGGGAGGCGCATGCCAAGAAAATTCGCCTTGCAATTCTTGGTGCTAAACTTTTGATCCAAATCAGTCACTTTGATTAATTTTTCTGTCAGAAACCATGTACAGATAATTATAGGTTGATGTATTGCTTATTAGAGAACTTTTGTATTGATCAGCAAATAGAAAGTTTCCTTGTTGGGAATTCATTTTGGCCAAAATATAGGGGAAAATGTTTTTTTTTGACCAAACATTATAGTTTTGGATAAATGTAGAGAAGCAAACAGAACTACTCCATGCTGTCACATCTAAAAATTACCCCCCTGAAAGATAATCAGCAATGATCGAGTGCACGATAAAAGGACCTCACCTGAGAGAGATAAAACAAAATGGATTAATTTCTATATTTCAGGAATGCTGTTATTTTGGCAATAATTGATTGCTCCACTTTAGCATGATTTATGGTTGGTGGTCACACAATAGTCTGCTGATCATGCCACACTGCAGATATCTTACTTGGGATGTCTTTCTTATTACTTTGAAATTTACCAGAACAGGGTTACACAATAATTGTTAAATTCAGTGTTGTCCTGGCTTACTTCACCAATGCATGAAAAATTGAGAATTTACTTGTTTGGCTGAAAATGCAACAAAAAAGTATGAGGCTTCATAATTGAGGCATTGATCAACTGCTGAGAACAAATCCAGTAATTTTGTGTAGCACGTTGTTATGACCAGTTTTGCTGGCCAGTCAATAATGTACTGAACGTAGTCAAGACGTTGATATAAATTCAATTATTTGTGTTGTACTTTATTTGTCTTGGCAAAATGAAGTGATTTTTTTTTGCTGAGCACTATGACCTGTGATGGGTTTGAGGAGCGATTGTGAATTCTCATGATTTTTGCAGTCTACATAAATCTCTGTGAAGAAGATATTAACAGCTCTATTAACAATGGTTAATAGGGAATGTGAAGAAACTTTGACTGACAGCATGATATATTCAATGTATGCAGATACCCATATCAAACCGTTCATAGTCGTTCAGTTTAGGAAATGTTATTTTCCTTTTTGACTGTTGATTAATCAGTTTTGTTACCAGCTCTGGAATCCACTTAAGAAACACCTTGCTGTACTGCTGTTCAAATAACTTTTTTCATAATGTTTCAGCTTCACAGTTACATTTTGCAGTATCTTCTCAGCCCTTGTTGATTTACAGTGGTACACTCTACTCCTAGTTATATTTATCAGGATCTGTTATTTGGATTCAGGAAATGACTTCAGCAATTTTTTTTAATGTCACTTGTTGGGCCTCATAATGGTTTCCTCATATCATCGCAATTAAGAAGTTTATGTGGTCTTGTGCATTTTATGAGAGTCATTTAAAATGCATTTTATTCTTGTTCACGGGTCCACATTTTTTACCTGTGCTATGAAGAAAAGACATTTGGGCTGCAACTTGCTTAATTCCTGCACTTCGGTGATGAGATCTGCATACATTGA